ATTGGAATGCAGGGCCAGCAATCAGATACAAGGTGAAACTTCAGGAAAATAAAACTTTCAAAACATGCAGAAGCACCACATAATGTAATCCTGGGCATCAACTGCTGAAATTAGTAGGGGGCACTTGTACTTTTTAACCCATTCCTGCCTGATATATGCTGGACCACTTAGGATCCAGGAGGAGCAATGGACACAGGAGGCACATAGCATAAAACCACCCATAAAAAGGAATTTATGTCTAAGCCCTTCCAAACATCCAGAAGTAACACAGCATATTACATGGTACAGCAACATGGAATTCCAGCATCAAAGATGGCCACCGTTCCTTCACACATGCTCAGTAGCGTGTATCCGATGCTTCTGTTGATTTATGTTTTTGCATATTATCACAATATCACGGTTCATGTAAAGTATTTTGATTTCACATATTGCTGTTAACAATAGACATTGGGGGTAAGGCCACACCACCCTGAATGCACCCGTTCTTGTCCAATCGTGGAAACTAAGCAGGGTCAGGCCTAGATAGTGCTTGGATAGGGGGCCCTGAATCTTGGTCATTCACAGGATTATTGTACACACTGTCCAGCCTTCTCTACACACTGCCTTCCTTGTGTAGCACTACCCTCGTCAGGGCTGCTGAGTTTTATTTGGGTTCCCCTATGCTCTGAATGGCCCGGCAACATGCATTTTTCACACTTGTACCTTTTAGAGTCAGTAAAAGAGTCCTTGAGCTGGCTTGAACTTGAGGCAAACTTCTTAGCAACTATGTACAAAAAGGGTGGACTGTTCAGTTTTTGATGAATTTCTGCAGACCCCGGATGAATCCTCCTCTTCACCCAACAATGCTGAGGGCATCCAAATAGCTTTCAGTTAAGCAGTCCCAGGTAAAGACTAGTTACTTTAGAGCACTTACACTGTCCTGTCCTGTCAGCATGGTGGGTTGGTAACTGCTTTCAGACCTTTCGCTGGGCTGGCTCCTTCCCTGCTGCTCAGGATGTCCTCCCCAGGAGATTTTAGGAAGTGGAGATCCTCCTGTCCAGCAACCAGCCTGAAGGTAGGCTCCCCCACTCCAGTCTTCCTCTCAGTCCATCTTCCGCCTGACTTGCCTCTCTCCCCAGGTTCTATCATATTTGAGGGTTTCCCTGGTCACCATGCCCAGCCTCCTGCCAGGGGATTGGCCAAAGTCAATTACACATGCACATCTGGGCCTCCTCCCCTACCCCTGTTCCAGAAAGTTCTCAGATTTCTGGAAAGGTGGGAGGGCTCCATAAGCCCTGGCCTGTAGAACCTGCCAGCCTGTGCTGAGGTGAATTTACTACTTCACTCCCAGGCTGACTCATCCCAGGCTGCTACTCAACCTCCATCTAACAAAAAAGCTTATCTAACTAACCTGGAGGATGTTACACTTGTATACACTGACCCACGTTTCACCAGCACACTCTGCTCCCTCTCCTTTTTTTACACTATCCCCTTCCCTGTACACACTGCCCCCCTGTCAAAAATGCCTCTCCCAGCCTGGTAGTGGCCTGTATTTATGTATGTCTGTACATTACTGTTAGGCCTTGTTTACACGGGCATACATAAGCCTACACCCGTGTGAGGGCCATGTTTTCCCATACAGGCAGGATAATGCACATGTGTTCAGGGTGTCCTCATGCAGGCAGCCACATTCATGTCTGTTAGGTTGCAGAGGCTGAAAGGAAACCGCCACTGCTCACAATCTGGCACCTATGTGGGTATGGGTCCCCAAATCCACACAGTCTGCGTTTGGGGACCCACACCCATATGGATGTCAAATTGGGAGCATGCATGGTACATGTGCATCCCATGCCTGTGCAAACAAACATGGCTGGCCCTTGACAAATATTGCCCTCGCACGGGTGACCAAGGCCTAATAATAACGTACAGACATACATACATGCATATAAATATACCTATGCAAACACATACATATGTACATACACACACATGTACACATAAACTCACACACATACATACATACACACTCACATACATACATGAACACTCACATACAGTACATACATATATGAACTCATACACACTCACATACATACAAACATGTTCACATACATAAACTCACACAAATGCATGCACACTCACATACATAAACTCACACACATAAATACAAATTCACATACATATAGTACATACATAAATTCACACACATACATACACACACTCATTTACATACATACACAAACTCACAAACATACGTACACACTCACATACATACATAACCTTTTGAAAAACCACAGCTTATGCAGGCCATAGACGGGTGGAAAACCGGCCGTTTTTTTTAAAGAAAACGAAAAATCAGTTGTTCAATAAGCCACCAATGACGTTACTACCAACGATAAAAAAAAAAATCGTCCGATTTTCGTCCTGTCTACGGCCAGCATTTAATTACTTCTGTCCCTGTAGAGAGCTCCGCTATTATATTTGACATGAAAAAGTATAGCGGTTGCAACAATGTATCTATTTGTATCCATTTTGGATACAGATGGTTTTATTCGGATACAAATAGATACATTGTTGCAACCACAATACTTTTTCATGTCAAATATAATAGCGGACTGGAATTCTTATTCTTTTTTCTTCTTCTTCTTTTTCTTTTCTTCTTTTTCTTGCAGGTCACGGCTCATGCTCAGATTTTTTAGTGGTAAAAAGATCGGCCGATTTGCCCATCATTGCTGCGAAAATCTGCCGATCAGCAAAATCGGCCGATTTTGTTTCCAACTTTACTGATAAAAAAAAGTGCCAAAATCCAGAAAAACGGCTGACCAATTAACCGATTAATTGTGCGAAAATCGACTGATTTTTTTTTCGGCCGAAAAATCAGCCGATTTTCGACTCATCTATGGCCTGCATTACTGTACCTGGCTGACCAGGTTTTGGCACTTGCACCATCGAGTAAGATGCCTATGTACACAGTACTACATGGAAAGGAAGAGGGAAAGGTCGAGACTCAGGATGCAGCTTTCCCCGTGCACATCTCTGCCCATTACTTCCCATTACTCCCCACTCCAGCTCTGCAGTTCAGTGTTAACTGTCCTAGAATACTACAAAAATATAGCAGTTGCCTGTCCCTGCCTGGCCACACTTGTCAAGACTAGGAAGCCCTGCTGTGCTTCTCCTCCTCCGTGCTGACAGGAGTAGCAAGTGATGCTGCTATCACATCTCCTGTCAGCCAATAGTGGCAGAGTCTAATGTAAGATTATTAAGGGGCTCCCATGCACCTGGGGCCCCTGAGCAGTGCCCATGCATTAAGACAGTCCTGGCAATATCTAGTGGCCAATTTTTAGGAACCACACTGGGCACCTCTGTGCCCTTATTCTGCAGCTATACACAACTTGAATTCTATTTTTCAGCCTGTGGGCTGAATGAGGAAAAAAAAAAACAAATGATTCTCCTCTCCACACTAATGCAGGCCCTACATGGTTCGAATTCCCGAACGTTTTTTTGTCCGGAAATCGGAAACGTCATTTGCTCGGTAATCCGATGGTGCCATCATTGATTTCGAAAATTGGCTGACCGAGTCATAAGGTTCACCCCATATAACAGGCAAAACTTCTGTTCCTTCCAGGTCATGGCTCATGCGCATATTCTTTTCGGAAAAACGATCATACTATTTGACCATCATTGAGTCGAAAATCGGTCGTTTTTCACAAATTTTCCAACATGCCCAATCACCGAAAAGGGGAGGAACCATGAAAATCGTCCGGTGCCATTGACTCACTAACAGAACGAAAATCGGCTGATTATTTATTAGGAATTTCCACTGTTGGCTTTTGTATTCATGCAGTTGAACACTGACTGCATCTAATAGTATGCACTGACTGTTCTGTCGATATTTTTCCACCCAGCTCAGTTCTACTAATGGTTAGTCAACAGCTAGGTAACAAAACTGAAGCAGCGTTGTGTTTCATTGCAAAACTGAATTTACTTCTGTGAATAGTTCTGTAAAACTGCAATACAATCACATACACTGAAGTTACAATATGCTTGTAAATACGTCTCTCACAAATACATACAATGAACACATTTCTTACAAACAGCTACCTACAAATCCCATTAAATATACTGAAATGTGATCTAGCTATGTACTGTATGTGACTTTAACAATCACAATGGATGAACTTACAGGCATATGTGTATCAAAGGGAGAAGGAGGCCTTCACTGGTGTTCTTCTGGAAACTAAACTGAAACAAGACTGCTGTGTGAGTGAAACCTCCTGTTTCCTGGTTCAGAAGCAATTGCAGTGAATGTCCAACAGATGGCTCCCTTCTCAACACAATGATGTGAATACAGAACAGTTTATCTTCAGTAACGAAATTCAGCAATGACATCTCTCACAACAGCTTTCCCTTAAAGTATAACTAAAAGCAATTTTTTTTTTTGGATAGAGTGCAGAGGGATTAGAAGGCCTGTCAGTTTTTATTGCTGTCTGTGCCCCCGCTGATGAGATTCACCCTCTCTATCTATCCCGTTTACCGTTATTATTGAAAGTGAAAGTAAAACAATATCCCAAATTTTGGGTTGTCACCAGAAAACTAATAGAGAGGAAATCTTCCAATGGGGACACTAGTTTTGGTGACCTGGGGGTCCCCAAGGCATTTCCTTAATTTTCAGGGATTTCCTCTCACTTCCTGTTTTGGCTATGGGACAGGAAGTGAAGGTAAATCTCCGCAATGGGACACAGGTGGCAGAAAGAAAATCTGACAAGGGTTATAACCCTCCCTTGCTCTAACTTCCTGTTTTGGCTATGGGACAGGAAGTGAAGGTAAATCTCCGCAATGGGACACAGGTGGCAGAAAGAAAATCTGACAAGGGTTATAACCCTCCCTTGCTCTAACCAAAATCAGCATTTATCTAAAAAACAACAAATATACCTAGCAAACCTAGAAGACTTTACATAGAGATATCTAAAAGATCTATTAAGAGATTCATCTGATAAGAGCGCATGTGACCTATATAGTCCAGGGGCGGACTGACCATTCGAGCACTCGGGCACTGCCCGAGGGCCCAGGGTCAGTAGGGGGACCCATGAAATGCCCCTGGCACCTTTTTTATAGGCTTTTTTGGGTGTGGGCAAGGACACAGGGGCCCCATGATCCCCTATTGCCCGGGGGCCCCATGAGTTGTCAGTCAGCCCCTGATATAGTCTATAGGTCAAACATTAAGGTGAGCATGCATACTGAAAGGTGGAGGAGCACAAGTGGTGATTACCTTATACAGTAGTAGAAGGTCACTGGTGGATTTATCTAAAGAATTGAAGATTTTGCATAACAGACTGTTTGGAACTTTATTATCTTTTTTTTATTGGGACTTTATTCTTTGCACTTATAATATTCATTTGATAATATTACTTGGTTTTGGTGAGTTGCTCAGCAGGGTGCTTAAAAATTATTCTATGCAATTTATTTATGTTCAGACATAGGCACTGTGTTATGTTCATGTTTATTTAGTGTCACCATTTTGAGTGGTGCCCATCCAGATGTTTACTCAAGGTATTTATTTCACATATCTTTTATATATACACTTTGGTATGTTTACACCACATATTAGTGTCATCATTTAGGGGGTCGTTCAGCTGGCCGTTTACTTAACTATACTATAATATACTATTTATTTGGTAAACTTTTTTCACTTTTTACCTATCACTCATGGTTATTATGAAGATATAGAGGTTCTTTGAGGTTTGATTTATTAACTATTTCACTGGAGTTTGAATATAATTTTGTGAGTAGCACAGCATCAATGTATATATACACCAAATTGCAAAAAGTATTGGGCTTGCCCTCCAAATCATTGGATTCAGGTGTTCCAATCACCTCCATGGCCACAGGTGTATACAGTCAAGCACCTAGGCATGCAGAATGATTCTACAAACATTTGTGAAAGAATGGGTCGCTCTCAGGAGCTCAGTGAATCCAAGAGTGGTACCGTGATAGGTTGCCACATGTGCAATAAGTCCATTTGTGACATTTCCTTGCCACTAAATATTCCACGCTCAACTGTTAGTGGGATTATAACAAAGTGAAAGCAACTGGGAACAGCAACTCAGCCACCAAGTGGTAGGCCACGTAAAATGAGAGTGGGATCAGCGCATGCTGAAGCGCACTGTGCGTAGAAGTCACCAACTGTCTGCAGAGTCAATAGCTAAAGACATCCAAACTTGGTGTGAAGCCTTCAGATTAGCACAACAGTGCGTAAAGAGCTTCATGGAATGGGTTTCCATGGCCGAGCAGCTGCATCCAAACCTTACATCACCAAGTGCAATGCAAAGCGTCGGATGCAGTGGTGTAAAGCACGCTGCCACTGGACTCTAGAACAGTGGAGACTTGTTCTCTGGAGTGACCAATCAGCTTCTATGTCTGGCAATCCAATGGACGTGTCTGGATTTGGTGGTTGCCAGGAGAACGGTGCTTGCCTGACTGCATTGTGCCAAGTGTAAAGTTTGGTGGAGTGGGAATTATGGTGTGGGGTTGTTTTTCAGGGGTTGGGCTTGGCCACTTAGTTCCAGTGAAGGGAATTCTTTAGGCATCAGCATACCAAAAATTTTGGACAATTTCATGCTCCCAACTTTGTGGAAACAGTTTGGGGATGGCTCTTCCTGTTCCAACATGACTGCGCAGCAATGCACAAAGCAAGGCCCATAAAGACATGGATGAGCGAGTTTGGGGTGGAGGAACTTGACTGGCCTGCACAGAGATCTGATCTCAACCCGAGAGAACACTTTTGGAGTGAAATAGAGCGGAGACTGCAAGCCAGGCCTTCTCGCCCGACATCAGTGCCTGGCCTCACAAATGCGCTTCTGGAAGAACGGTCAAACCTTCCCATAGACACTCTCTAAACCTTGTGGACAGCCTTCCCAGAAGAGTTGAAACCATTATAGCTGCAAAGGGTGGGCCAACTCAATATTGAACCCTACGGACTAAAACTGGAATGCTATTAAAGTTCATGTGCGTGGAAAGGCAGGAGTACCAATACTTTTGGCAATATTGTGTATATTTTGAATTGGTTTGAGGGAACACATTAGGGTGCTTGCAGCAGCTCACAGTTACTTCTTAGTTGGTGACAGCGCATGAGGACGCATTCTCCTTAGTTAGCAGCAGTATTACTGCCACTGCTAAATGTCACAACTCCTGCTCAGGGATACTTGTTGTCAGGGAGCAGGCACCTGCCACCAACCTAACAACCAGTGACTCATCCCGGGGTCCCCCTTTACACCAGCATTCTCCCTTACATCATGGTCCTTAGCATTCCCTTTTAAATCAGGATCCACAGAGTTCCCCCTTGTACTGTAAGGGAGCATCCTGCAGACTCTGTTGTAAGGGGGGACTCTGTGGACTCTTGTGTAAGGAAATAGGGGGCTATGGATACCATAGATCCCCTTACATGAGAGTTCCCCTTTACATCACAGATGGTCTGCAGCGTTCCCCTTCATATCAGGGTCCACATAGTTCCTCTTTACATCAGGCTCCGCTGAGTTAACACTTACATTGTAAGGGGGAACCTTGTGGACTCAAATGTACAGGGGAACTCCGTGGACTCTGATGTTAGGGGGAGCTCTGTGAACTCTTATGCAAGGGGGGCTCTGATGACAAGAGACACACTTACATCAGAGTTTCCCTTTACACAAGAGTCTACAGTATCCCCCATTACAACAGAGTCCTCAGAGTTCTATATCAGGGTCTGCAGAATTCTTTCTTGCACTGTAAAGGGGAACCCTGCAGACTCTGATGTAAGGGGGAACTCTGTGCTGGGTTTTATAAACCTGACCTTCATGTAAATGATGACATTTTTTTTACATTTTGTTACACTTGAAAATAGCACTATTTACATGTTTGTAGTTTAAATATTGATATTGACACTGAAAACAATCATATTATGTACTTTTTTTTGAAGTGTCAGTAAAAAATGTGGCTCTGTCAGTTAATTTCATGAGTTTTGTCAGTGAAAAAATTGGTCCTGTCAGTAAATTTCACTTCGGGAGGTTGGCAACACTGTGTGTGGCCTCTTCCCCACAATGCTGGCCCAGTAGTTGTGGGTGTCTGTGGGTGGGGGCTTATTAGAATCTGGAAGCCCCTTTGTGAATGAATGAAGGTACACGGCGCCCTACTCATTTACAAAAAAATAACCTAAAGATAAAGACAGCTAAATGTTTGACATGTCCATGTTTAGTCAATGATGTCACCCGGGTGACCCTACCCCTTTGTTTATTTTAGTGGCAGGGAGATGTCATTCGGCTCGAGGTAAGCCCTATTTATTCACATGGGGGGGGCAGTATCGGGGGGGGGGCATTATTGCTAAAGGAAGCTTACAATTTCTGATAGGTCTCCTGCCCACAGACCCCCACAACCACCAAACCAGAGTTGAGGTGAAGAGGCCCTTGTTTAACCACTTGCCAACCGCAGATAGCTGAATGACGGCTTCACCACGGCAGGCCAGTTCTAGGAGGGCGTCATATGATGTCCTCCCAGAATGCGCCCTCCCGCACACCCCCAGGGGCACGCACCCGGCAATCTACATGATTGGTGTCCTATGGACACAGCTGATCACGTGATGTGGTAAAAGGCCAATCACAGCAACCTTTTACCACGTGATCAGCTGTGTCCAATGACACAGCAGATCACCGGTAAATGCAGTTGCCAGTTATTGGCTGCACTTTTCTCATGCTATCACAGCGTGAGGAAAGTACTACCGATAACCGGCAATTGTCAGAGGACAGATCGTCACCAATCAGTGCCCTGATGATCAGTGCCCAGCAGTGCCGCCCACCTGTGCCACCCACCTGTGCCCAGCAGTGCCACCCACAAGTGCCCAGCAGTGCCGCCTACAATTGCTCAGCAGTGTCACCCACCAGTGCCCATCAGTGCCACCCATCAGTGCTCAGCATTGCCGCCAGTCAGTGCTCATCAGTGCCACCCACCAGTGCCCATCAGTGTTACCCACAAGTGCTCAGCAGTGCCGCCTACAAGTGCACAGCAGTGCCACCCACCAGTGCCCATCAGTGCCACCCATCAGTGCCCAGCAGTGCCGCCAGTCAGTGCCATCAGTCAGTGCCACCCATCAGTGTCCATCATTATTGCATATCAGTGCTGCCTATCCATGCCACCTCATCAGTGCCGCCTATCAGTGCCCATCAGTGCTGCCTATCAGTGCAGCCTCATCAACGCACATCAGTGAAGGAGAAAAATTACTTGTTTGCAAAATTTTATACAGTAATAGAAACAAAAAAAACTTTTTTTTTTCAAAATGTTTGCTCTTTTTTGGTTTATAGCGCAAAAAATAAAACACCAAGCGGCGAGTACATACCACCAAAAGAAAGCTCTATTTGTGTGAAAAAATTATAAAAATTTCATATGGGTTCAGTGTTGCATGACCGCACAATTGTCATTCAAACTGCGACAGCACTGAAAGCTGACAATGGGCCTAGGCATGAAGGGGGTATAAGTGCGCAGTAGGCAAGTGGTTAAAATGTATCTAAAGACTAATTTTTTTTTTCTTAGGTTTGGACAGAGCATGGAAGAATTGGCAAGTCTGTTTTTGCTGTGTTAGGAGAAGAAGTGTGTCCGTCCAGAACCCTTTGTCCATATCAATTGTATTATTCTTGCATTCAGTAAAAAAAGGTTTTAGCAAACATGTCATTCAGTTGAGGTCAGGGGTGGACTGACCATTTGGAAACTTGGGCACTGCCCGAGGGCCCGGGGTCAGCAGGGGGCCCCATGAGATGCCCCTGGTACCTTTTTCATAGGCTTTTTTGAGTTTGGGCAAGAACACAGGGGCCCCATGAGTTGTCAGTCCGCCCCTGGTTGAGGTTTACATCTATTTTGATCCTAGGGCTCTATTTTCATTTCCAGAGGTGCGTAGAGTTTTCTTTTTTCAAGTACACATAAAACATTATTACTACTTTATTGTAATACTATTACCTTTATCATTGCAAAGATTTTGTATTTTAGATTGGAATCAATAGCAGTCAAATAAACCTAATTTCTACAACAGATCAACAGCGCAAAGCAATATGACGTAACGTGCTACAATCAGGAGGATTTACATTTATGGAGTACAGTTTATGTTTTACACGCTGAATTTTACTGTGTTACTCTCAGCAGCAGCGGTAAACCGTCCCTGGCAATTAATCTACGTCTTTATTATCCAGATCTTGCTCACACACTAGTTCCCTGCTGTCTTGTCAAGCTCAGAAATCTTTAAATACTACAGAATAAATTTAACTGTGCTTTAGTGGCCTTACCTACACACTGAAAATGTGTTCTGAGACTATCATTACCCAAATCTATGCTGATCTATGTCTGCAAGAATGTCATTACTGTTACAGGCAACCCGGAGGTCTAATAAAGAGATGTGTCATGAATAGCCCTCTGGGTATGTGGCCTGTTCTGAGCAGTCCTCCTTGTTTCACTGTTGTATTTATACCAGGCACATTTACAGGGAGAAATTGTTCATACCAGCCTCTCCAGGGGCACAATCACATAAATGTGCCTTAATAACTTACACTTTATTTTTTGCATTGGCATTATTTCACTTGCTGGGGTAATTCACCCCAACTATTTAATTTACAGAAAATGTCAGCCGGCTGTTGTGCCTACTCTAGGGCCGTATAGCAGGGTCTCCATACTCTCTAAACAAATGGCCAGTTTACAGTCCTTCAGATTTCGGGGGGGGGGGGGGGGGGCAGACTGGGGCCAGTGGGAATTATCAATTCCTCAGGTGTGGTGGTCAGTGGGATGAGAAAAAAAAAACTACATAGCATGTGTGGTTTGTAGTAGTAGTAGGAGGAGTGCCACATCATTGGTATTAATGAGAGGAAGAATGCCCCATCATTGGTATTAATGAGAGGAAGCGTGCACCATAGGGCAGCACAGTGGCTAAATGGTTAGCACTTCTGCCTGGCAGTACTAGGGTTTCAGGTTCGATTCCCAACCCCGGCACCACCTGCCTGGAGTTTGCATGTTCTCCCTGTGACTGCGTGGGTTTCCTCCGGGTACTCCAGTTAGCTCCCACACTCCAAAGACATGCTGGTAGGTGAATTGGATCCTTTCTAAATTGTCCCTAGTATGTGTATGTATGAATGTGAGTTAGGGACCTTAGATTGTACATCCTTTGAGGGTCAGGGACTGATGTGAATTTACAATATATATGTAAAGCTCTGTGTAAATTGATGGTGCTATATAAATACCATGAAATAAATAAAATAAAAATAAATAAATTATTGAATCAGTGGGAGCAATAGTTCCCCATTGTTGCTTTCAATGGGAAGAATAAAGCCCTTATGTTGGTGTCAGTGAAAGCAATGGTGTCTCCTTATTAATGTCAGTAGGAGGAATAGTGCCTCATATCAGCAGTAAGACTAGTATTTCAAGGGCTGGATAAAGTAAGCAAAGGGCTGCATCTGGCCCAAGGACTGCAGTTTGGAGACCATTGCCCTATAGCACAGAACACACAGAAGCATAATGCAATGCTAGAGTAAACAGCATCAAAAAGTGTGTTAACGATCTTTTGTAAAATGTAGCCAGCAAATGCTAGACGTTTTTGACATACTCTGTTCATCACTCAGTTAATTAGGTATGGCTCATGTATATGTTTGATTGCTTATTAACTGTACATAGTTCTTCTTCATTCTCTGAAGTGTAAAAAGAAACCCTGTGATTTCTTCCTAAGAATAATAGTTGGCAGAAAGACTGGGACAAGGTCACTTAGCGCCCAGGGTAAAGATGTCAAACTGCACCCACATCCGGTTCATAAATATAAAGCACAAATGAACCACATAGCGTAATTCCCTTTATACAGTTTATTCCATATTAACCCCCATAAAATAACATTCACATAAAGACGAATAAAATTCACATCAAATAAAATTGTAGGAGCACGTGACACCCTCAGAGGCAGCTGTGATGACGAAACGTGTCAGGGCGTGACCATACATGATGTCAGCATATTCACCTGATGTGATGTTGTCTCTCCTACCCCGAAGTGAAACAGCGGGCTGTGCACGGAAGTGTGGTGAGATGCCAGTGGGATATTACATGCAGTGACAAGTGCTCCTACTATTTTATTTGATGCTAATTGTATTCATCTTTATGTGTTATTTTATTCAATTTATAAATGGAATTATGCTATGTGGTTCATTTGTGCTTTATATTTATGAACCGGATCAATTGGACCATTATTTGTGATGGAGATTGAGGGACCATGAGGAGGATTATTGTTGTGCCTATATAACACCATGTTCTGGTGAGTGTGTAGTCTGATGGGGAGATAGTCACCTAAGAAACACGGTGGTGTTGGAGCGGATCTATAGGAATTATAGAGACTTTTCCTTAAAAGATCTATGTGGTGGACTTTATCCTTACTTCACTCTACTACACTTTGGTGGAAGATATATTATTATCAGAGACGGACTGACCATTTGGAAACTCGGGCACTGCCCGAGAGGCGGGGTCAGTATGGGGCCCCATGAGATGCCCCTTGTACCTTTTTTATAGGCTTTTTTGAGTTTGGGCAAGGACACAGGGGCCCCATGATCCCCTATTGCCCGGGGGCCCCATGAGTTGTTAGTCCGCCCCTGATCATTATATTCTTTTATTCACTTTGATTTTTTATTACTATGTGTTTCATCATTGTTATCATTGCAAACAAACTATTATGGCTATGACAGATGAAGCGCTGTTTTTATGAGGATTTACTTGTGACTCACATCATTTGTCTTTTCTGTTTATTGAAAACAGCAGCTCATTGGGTTAGTATTTGATAGTCTTGATTCACCAGTACATAAGCTCCCAGTTTCCACTCTTTGAGTGTCAAGTACTGTGTCAATTACCTGTGACACCTGAGCTTCAATTCACACCTAAGAGCTTGTAGATTTCCTACTGTAAGTTAGTTATGGCTGCACAGTCAGAGGAAAGAGGTTAATGTTTGTACGCCTTGCGGGATTTTGCTGGGTCCGACCTACCTGTCCAGGGGAAATTTATATAAGGAAAGGGGATCAAATCAGGAGAGTCCCCGCTGAAATCTGCTTGGGGATCTGCATGAACACTGTCATGTAAAAGTTTTTTTTGGGAGCTATAGTCCATTCTGAAGACACCGACTCACTGGGACACCATTATCATAGACTACTGCCATTTTGGATTTACCACTAATGGACACTACCTATGCAGGTATGATGTGGCAGCCACAGATAGTCGGTTAGGGAGAGACTTACTGTTCTGTTTGGGCTGTTATGCTGAGTTTAATCAGTAAAACCTTTGAATTGTTCTTCCTGGTCTGAAGTTATTCGTAAGGGGTGTATGAAAGTAACCGGCACACTACAGATAGACATTTGAAGCTTGGGTCAGTTAAATCACATTGGGGTATGAAGTCAGACTCTGCAAGAAATAACATGGTTCGGAAGAGGAGCAAGTAGTTGCCAAGTTTAACGGAAGTCTAGTAACCAGAGCAAGCAGCCTGTTGTGAGGACCGGTACAAGGCGAGGGATCCTCCAGTAGTGAGGGGGTTGCTTCTGGGGCTCTCTACCCAGTGGTCTGTCTGCATAGCAACAGGAGCAGGTCAGCGTCACAGTGGCCCTCCCCACATGGAAGAAAAATATATTTTAAAAGTATTCTTCCCAAATATATTGACTTATATTTGAAATACTACAATTTTGGCTATATTCACTAAATAAATCTATTATTATTTATTATTATACAGTATTTATATAGCGCCAATAGTTTGCTCAGCGCTGTACATTATAATGGGAGACAGTACATGATACAGTAACAATACAATACATGAGGGGTTCGAGGGCCCTGCTCCTTGGAGCTTACAATCTAGGAGGGAGGGGAGAGTGGTACAGGAGGAAATAGCTGTGGGGGATGGAGTGGTGGGAAGAGCGGAGGAGATCAGCAATTAGGTGAGGGCTGGGTAGGCTTCTCTGAAGAGATGGGTTTTCAGGGTGCGCCTAAAGGTGAGGAGGGTAGGTGACAGTCTGATGGATTGGGGTAATGAGTTCCAGAGGATGGGGGAAGCCCTGGAGAAGTCCATACACACATACCCACACACACACACATATATATACACACACAAACACTGTATGTTAAAATGTGCTTTTATTACAAAATATATATGAAAAATATTTTTTAAAAATACATTTTCAAATATACTCTTTAAAAATACAAATCTACATTTTTGGAATGCATTTACAAATATATGTAAAAATATATGTTAAAATTACTTTTTTATATGGTAAAAAAAAATCTGAAGAATATATTTTTTAAAAAATATATTTTTAAATATATATTTTTTTTAAAATGCATTCTTCAGATTTTTTTTAACATATAAAAAAGTCATGTTAACATATATTTGTAAATGCATTCCAAAAATGTAGATTTGTTTTTTTAAAGACACACAGTATATTTGAAATGTATTTTTAAAAATATTTATATTTCAACATGCAGTATATTTTATATATATATATATATATATATATATATATATATATATATATATATATATATATATATAGTGGCAGTGCGGCATCCGGTCAAAATCCAGTTTATAACCCGGGATTCTCAACCAGACAGGTTGAGGGACTCCAGAGGGTTTATTTGATGCAGAGGAAACTGACTTTTCAGTTTCCCCATTTATTTGTAAAGTATGTTTTGGGATCTTGAGCCTGGAGATTTCTAAGTGATCTGGGAGGGATGAAATCTCCAATCCCGGGTCCATGTTTTCTGAATCCCCAGCACACTAATGATACAGGTGTGTGAAGGGCTTTAAATAAGACCCTGACTATGGTTCTGGGCTCCA